AACCAAAATGTCGTTTACCTCGATATTTATCCTGTCTTTAAACGAAAAATTATTGCCACGCAGCTTTATTTTATGGAGCCCCAGAAATATTTTAAATAAGCCGTTAAAATTTTAACTTTTGTTGGCCATTTTAGTGTTCACTTTCATTCTCACCGCTCGCCATGATATCTATTTGAAAGCAAAAACCATAATTTCCCACTCGCAGCATTCCCCATGCATTCCCCTGTCAGTCGAAGCCGCAAATGCGGAAAAGTGTGCTAAATGTTATGCGAATATGCACAAATTTCCGGCAAGGTGAGCTGAGTTGAACTAAAAAGTAGGTGCTCGACAAAATAAATTTTAATAAACAGTGCGCATACATCAAACGACAGACACACGCACTCACGTACTCGTTGCCACAAACACTTGTGCACGTAATTGGCGGCAAAACAATTAGTAGCATTTTACAGTTTACAGTTGCTGCACATACCATATAGCGCTCTAAAATATTTTGCACGAAACTGCACACGAATGTGCACTCTGAAAAAAAATTAACGTATTATAAAGGCAATACTCCAATTTCAATATTTTAAAAAAGAAGAACGGAAGCTAATTGTTGTTCAAACGTTAAACTAAAAATAAATGTTTTGCCCTATTTTTAGCCAGTTGATCAAATTAGATTGTGGAATTAAAGCATAAAAGTAAGTTTTTCAAAAATACTAGTTGCTCAAATTCAAACATGTTGTATATCATTTGGGGGGTAACAGAAGTCACAAATGTTTTAAAAATCCTTTAAATAGTTTCCAAAAGTATTAACCAATAAAACCTAAAATCGTCTTTCAAAAACACTCCAACAAACTTTTAAATTTAAAATATATTATTGCGTTTTCTCAAATATCTTTATAACTAGTTTCAAACCCTGTGGCACCCCCAAGGACATACTTAACATCAGGTTTAAATTGTTTTTAAGTGTATGCAGAGGCAAATGTTGCAACAAAAGCAGACGGGCTGACTAAGTGGCAGATGTGATGAGCTTTTGGCCATGAGCCGAGACAGACTGTCTGAAAAGGTGAGGGCAACAGTTGGCAGGTGAACTGGGGAAAGCCCGAAAAGCGTTGAAACTTTTGACACACTTGGCAATTGAAATGCATTTGAAGAAGAAAAAAGGCCATCCACTGGCTGTAATAAATTACGGTAATTTAGGGGAAGCGAGAGATACATAGACATTAGCATACGTGCGCATACTGTTAAAGAGAGAAAGGAGTCAAAGGAAGCAAGCCATATGTGTGTCGCAATTTCCGTTTGAAGTGCACTTCCTGCCAGCTTGCAAATGTCAAGAGAAACGACTCGCACAGACACTCAGAAAAAAAATATTTTTTCAATTTGTTCACTGTATGGCGATTAAGTTTTGTACAGTACTTTTCGTCTTAAGAAAATTTTTAAGTATTAAAAATAAATATTAAAAAGATAAAAAAATTTGCTAAGTTTTTTAACAACGTTTGCTAACTTTTTAAAGTGCGTGCAGTTGCTCCTGCTCGTCAAGGCTGACTCCTTGATTGCCTGCACAAGTTCTCTCAAAACGAGAGACTGCACTCAACGATGGCTTAATGGAAAAGTTCCGAGAAGAATGCATACATATGTGTCCTAGTTGGGCCGCCGCATGATTAAAGCCTGAAACTTATGAACGCTTTGAAAATCTATATAAATATTTTGACATAACCCATTGCAAATAAATTCCAGAGTTTCCGCTTAATTTCGTGTGCTGGCATCCGTTCTATGAATTCAATTTTGTGGGGAAGTTGCAACAGCTGCTTGGAGTTGAAGAAAATCAAATTGAATAAAAAAGTTTCTCTCTGGCCAAGTGGCCCCTGCGGGCGGAAGTGCCAAGAGTCGGACCACATGGCGAATGCTTGATATTTCGCAAAGCGAGATGACAGGCAGCAACTGGCCACTTGAAGTGCAACTGTTGCACATCAAACAGACATCAAAATGTGCAAACATGATGGAGAGACAGCCAAGTGGACACGCCGGCAATGGCAAAGAAAGATACTAGAAACAGATTGCAGCTGCGGCTGCAGTTGTCGAGTTCTTTAAAAAACTTTGAAAAGGTTAGTGGACCCCTGCATTCTTTTCAGCTGCACACACTGAATGTGCGCGAGCACAGTCGACAGGACAATCAAGAGCACAAGCAGACCTCCAGTTCATATCCTGTGCAGCCTGTCTCTGTTATTTGAAGTCGTCTCAATGTGGGCGAGACTCGTCATGGTTAACAATTCGATCGGAACTCGAGGTCCTTGTGGCGACACAAGGGGACAGTATGTCATTGAAATTGATCAGCGGACCTGACCCTTCCTGCCGACTTTATTTGCCCGCTTAACGAGCGTATTTCCATTCCTCGTCAATGGCTTCATTGCACCTTCAGCCGAAGCCAATCTCATTTCCATTAAATTGTCCTGGCTGGCAAAATGAATCTGCTCCGAAAGCGAAAACATAATGAAAATAATTCGCCAAGGAAAGTAATAAAATGTCGGCCTTGAAGGGGGCCAAGCAAACACATGGACACAGAGAACAAATTCGACAACAACTTTCTGCAGTTTGTAATAAAAAACTGAAACGAATTCATAGATTTATTAAGAAAAATGCTTAATCGGCTTCAAAAGGTTTATTCTTGGATATAAACTAAGGTAAAATTTAAAAATTTATTGTTTTTTACATTGTAAAAGTAAAACCAGCGTTTGCTCATGTTTATATCCTCAATAATAACTGAAAATTTAAATTAACTTAACTTTAAATTTAATTAATAAATATTTTAATAATAAAAAGCCTTTTAGACCTTTAATATTCTAAAATATTTCTCGCTTATATCTCTCTGTGTATGTACTATATGCAAGTGAGTTTGGGTGTATTGTACGTGTGATTTCACATGTGTTTGTGTCTCAATGGCGCTTTATAGTGATGTCGTTGGTCCTGTCCTCGTATTTGTTTAGCCCGGCATTTTATTTTTACTGTTTATAAGCTGACAAAATTTTTTTCTCTCCTCTCACAGCCTGCACAATAAATGATTCGACCCGGTCCGTCCCGTTGAGGGTCGTGCGCCGTAAACGGGCCAATGTTGCGGCCACGTAATAAAACGAGAGAGCCACAAACAATAATTGGCCAGGGTCCGTTTGTGGGGGAATTTTTGATGGCCTTGTCTTGTCACTGAGGCGAAATTAGTTGCCAGTTGCGTGGGAGGATCGCCCAAAGGCATCCAAACTTCACTTTTTTCTTTCCATTTGCCTTCTGCTGGGTTTCCCTTGCTTTGATGCGATTCCATGCAGTTGAGTGCAAAACGCTGGCCAACGATGATTCCATTTCCCCGCGGCCAGAATGGCTATGCGTGGTCGCATTCTTCTCTGATTAAATTTGAAGTTATGCACTCGTTTCTGCTGTCCGCTTCGCTGACTTAACCAGAAACGAATCGAGAACGCAAGTCTGAATGCGGCAAAAAAAAGGCATTTCATATCTATGTCAGTGAGCCATTGTTTTCAATTTCAATTCCCTTGCATTGTTTTCGGTTTCCATGGCTTTGGGATCAGCTCCTGTGGCGTTCCTTATGTGGACTTTTTTTTATTTTTGGTCCATCCAAAAAAAATAAATTTCGAAATTTTCCGACTACCTTGAAACTACCTCCCAATGCTCTCCATTTACTATCCCATTTTTTCTGTCATAATGTCATAAACTTAATTAGTGCCGAGCCGAATGAGCAATCAGATGATCCTTGCCATCCAGCCGCTTTAATTAACATGCCAAAAAGGCCGTAGACGTAAGGTGAACCCTCGGTTCATCGCATTTTTTATGCCGCATTCTTAACGTGGCAAACGAAAAAAAATGCCGGAGAATGGCAAGAACCACGCCAGTTGGCAATACAATTTGCCGTGACAAATGCGGCCATAAACAAAAATGGCGACAACGATGCCGCTGCCACCGCCACCGACATTCAGCCATTTTCTAGTGCAGCGCCGACAAAATGGCTGCCACAAGAGGAGTCTGGATGAAAATTTCATTTCACAGGCAGCGCGATGGCTGCGACCTTTTACGGTATTTATCACACGCGAAACGAAACCCGTCTGCCAGCCAACTTCCATCCGCTCGTTTTCGTTTTTGGTAATGAAATTTCGCTTTAGCAATTACGGGCTTCCCCGGGCTATATAGCCGCGATAACTGGGGAATCGAGGGGAGCCGAGCTTAGCCAGCTAATAGCTTTTGAGGCTGGCTGGCTGGTTGACTGGATGACTCGATGGATGCATAAATTATGATGGGAGCACGAGTGGCCCCCTTGCAGAAATCAATTTCAGACTTCGGCAGCAAAACAAAGCGAAGCGTTGCTGGAAAAAAAAATAACGCAAGAAAGCCAAAGAAGAAAATAAAAACACAATTTATAAAAATATTTTCATGCCTAGCAGCTAAAATGTTATTAAAGTCAATAACATAAAGCCGGGGACAATTCCTTCTGCGAAGCTCTCCCGGAGTGAGGGCAAAAACTTTGTCAAATAAAAATAGCTTACAAATAAAAACAACTCGGGGCGGAAAAATAAAAATCACCGGAGAGAAGGGGCGAGGCAAACAACTGACCAAGGCAATGTAATAAAAATAAATAATGGCTTTGACAAAAAATAAGCGATGGCTGCGAGAAAGTTTGAATATTTATGAGTTTTTTATGTGCCAAGAAAGGAGGTAACCAAGAAAAATGTCAGCCTCAGAAAGGGTGTTATAGAGTGAAGGCGACAACTGCTTTAGATTTCGCTATTAATAATTTAGCAGTCATTAATGAAAGAATAATTTGAATAATCTTGTTTCGACAGATACGCAAATTATCAATAAAAATAATTGTACTTATTAACTTCAGTTTAGAAATGACAATCTGTCTAGCTGAAAATAAAATTTAGCTACAAGTTTTTTTTAAATTTGTTTGTCTATAATCCGTTTTAAAATAAACAAAATATTTTTTTTGATTTGAACTTTTAAATGCTTAATACCTTAGACACTGTGATATCTGATAAACAAAAATAATCAGATTAATCGATAAACTGTAGGTTACTTGGCAGTCCTAGCACATTAAAAAAAAATGAAAATATAACGAGTAGGCCTTGACTTTTCTTTTGAAAAAATAGCACGTAAAAAACTGCCTTTGTCAGAATCGGAGTTTGATTCCTTTAAAATCAGCTATCGAAGTGTAATAACGTACTAAATTCTTCTAAAATGAACGGCAATTGGAAGACTCTCGACCAGACCATGACTGTCGAGGCCATTGCGGCCATTAAGTCCAAGCGTTTGGCGATGAAGAACGTACTCGATGAGGAGGGCAAGCGCAAGAGGATGCTGCAGCGCAAGACGGATCGCCAGGAGCAAGAGCAGCAGGCGGAGATTTGCCGGCGGGCCATGGAGCGCGAGAGGCAGCCTCGCAGCCGCGAGGAGCAGCTGCTGGGCAAGAAGAATCTGTCCGGAGTGCTGCAGTGCCTGGCGCTCTTCTACGAAGCCGATAGGAGTCGCCAGGTGTCCAAGCTGGACGAAGTGCCGGTGGTGCCGCCCCAGCTGAAAACAGAGGAACGGCCGCCAAAGAGCAAGTACAATCGCTACGACCAGGAGAAATTCCTCAAGGGCCAGCAGGAGTTTGGCATCAATCCGCAGGGTAGTCACCTGGAGAAAGTGAAGTCCGCATTCGTTAGGCTTAATCAGCAGGGCAGCCACATTGAGAAGACCATGCCCACGAGCTTTAGTCCGAAAATAGCCAAGACAGCTGAGAATGTGGAGCGCCGTCTTAAGATCGTTCATTACCACGCCCGAATGCCCATAATTGTGGTTCCGCAGGCCCTGACCAGTCTAATCACCCTGCACAATGCCAGGCAGCTTCTGCAGGAGATGCGCTACGTCTCGGTGGAGCAAGCTCGCCAGAGCTACAGGCCCTCCAGGCCACCCCAGTTTTCCGACGAGGTCATCATCCAGCGACGCTTTCAGGTGGGTCAATACACAGAAAAACAATATCATTGTTTACCCACAACTAACCTAAATGGTTGAATTCGACGAGCTAAAAGCCAAATATTTGTTGAAAATTCTAAAAGAGCAATCACTCAAGTCCCAAAAGTTGTTTATCACGTTGGTCGAAGAGGACTACTATATATAGCTGCAGAATTGAAAATCTAAGGGTACACCCAGAGAAAAACCCCATAGAAAAATTATGCACACTAATATTGTTTCAAATCGAACAATTAAATTATAAGTTTTTACAAGGTTAAGTATAACATAATCAGTAAAGTCATTGGAAGCAGTCAGATTTGTCTATATATTCGTTTAAACTAAAAAAATTGTTTGATCAAACCTCCAAATAAGGGGAAATGCATAATCATAATGCTCAGTGTCCTACTAAAATGTACGCTTGCTAAGATTCTTATTCACTTTTATGAAATGCCATTTTCAGGACGAACTTGTGAGCTACCGGATCATCGACGTCGTGACCCGCCTGACCTCCGAGGAGTGGGTGCGGGTGGCCGCCGTGTTCGCTTTGGGTCCAAACTGGCAGTTCAAGGGCTGGCCGCTGGGCAAAAGCCTGGCCGACATCTTCCAGCAGGTGTGCGCCTTTCACCTGTACTTTAAGGACTCGCCGCCGTGCAAGGAGCTGCAGAACTTGCCGGTTAACATGCTCGCCCTGCCGCTGAACGAGCGGCACTCGGACTGCGGCATCCTGACGGAGTTCTGGAACAAGCTGGACCACCACATGGCCGTCCGTCACCGTCAGTTTGCGTTTGTAAAGCAGAAGTAGGGTGCTTACTTTCCCCTCGGCACACACACACACACACGGATAGAGATAAGCAGGGAAATCAATAAATGAAATTGAATAGCCCAGAACAAAGGACGAAGGACGTAGACCCAAACTCACATACACCATACACACTCACACACACATGGGGCATTGCTGCGATAATAAAAAGTGAACGGGCGCATCAGAAAAATATATCACGTTTGTATAAAAATCATATAAAAACGTTGCGAAAACTGCAAACTTGGCAAGAAAATTAAGAGCACAAACAAGTCGGAAAATGAGGGGAAAGGAGGGAACTTGGCACGCGTGAGACAAAAGCTAAATGACACACAAAGGAGCAGTTGTGTGTGGATGTGAGGGTGTGCCAGTGTGCGGGGGTGTACTTATGTAAGTCACTGTGCGTCCCACAAAACGTAAAGCTGTCAACGGCGTTCAGAGTGATGGGGAAAAACAAAAAATGGGGTGGCGATAAGGACAGGGGACCCACTAAGAAGGGCGGTGGGCGCAATAAAAATCACTGGGAAAATGGCAATTTTTATACACCACACACACACCCACACTCCCACATGTGCTTGTATTTAAATAAAATGCGTGCCAAGGCATTGGCATGTGTGAATGTGTGTGTGAAGTAGGATTTGAAGCAATTGGCAGGCGATAAAGGATGCCAAAAGGAAATGCACTAAACGATTTAACAGTGGAAAAAATATATGTATATATTTATATATTTATTTTTAAATTGGTAAAATAAAGTTCACAATTTGCTTACTTTAGTTTCATAAATTTTTGCAAATAGTAAATAGTTATAATAATCGATTTTCTACTTGGCCAATTTGTAGTTTGTCCCACTGTCTATCATTTACTGAGTAAGTAGCTTCAGCTACTCGTCTCTCCTTCAGATAATTTGCCAACTTACGCAACACGCCCTAGAAAACGGTAGGTCCTTTTCGTCCTGCTTCTGTGGGTGTGGTCGTATGTGGACAAATCGAGTTTCGCTGCCAATATTCAATTTTATAAATTGAGCCAAAGTGAAAGCGGAAAAAAATGTGGGAAAGAAATTCAATTCGTGTTAGCAAAATGTATAAAACTTACGTATGAGGAAAGTGAATTTTCCACACGAGCTTGACGCAAAGTTGATTCAAGCGACAGAAGTTTGGATTACGTCATTGAAAGTAGGATGTTGGAGCTCCACAATTAAGAAGAGCCTTTAAGTTAAGATTTCTATTTTAGTATTTATTGCTTCTGTAAGCACAGTGGGTGTTAAACTAACGCACGAACAATAAATTCACCAAATGGGTTGGCCATAAATATCCGAAATTTGCATTTTCCAAAACCCACACAAAATCTGTCGCCGCTTGGCTACAAGCCGGATTCAATTGCAAATGCCATCGACACAGATAGCTGGTCTTCCTCGCAGTTTTACTCCAACGAATCGGACATAATTTAGCCTCAGTTGACACTTACTTTGCAACCCAACTTGATATATCTCCTTAGCTAGCTTTATTTTTCAGGATTAAGCTCGCATTTCTCGCCGTTCGTAGTAAACAAGCTGCAGCTAATATTAATGAATTGACTGCTTAAGCGAGATTTTTGGATCGCAGCATGAAAGTCCTGAAAATTGAATCGATATCATCTGGTGGCATTACAGTTGGCTTAAACCTGATTACGCACTGACTGGCACAACTTTGCGCCCAAGTGCCCGAACACCTACACATGTGCCACGTGTCCATATACATGTACATATATAAATTCCCCTACTTACGACAGGACAAAGTTTTTACTTCACACCCAAGCGAGATTCGAGAGCTGAAAACCGAGAAGCACTTTGAGCCCCCATAAATCCCTTGGTTGCTGCGAAAAAGAACAACAAGCTGGACTACTAAACTATGGCAAAAGTTTGCAGTGGAAATCAGTAAAAAGTCAACTTTAGCATCCGTAGAATCGAAAGAAAGCTCCGCACCGAGCTCCGCGTTAACAACATGGCTGTGGAAGCCAAGTGGAAAAATCAACGAAAACAACCAGGCAATCGCACATGTCCGCATGGCGATGACAGCGGGAAAAGCGCAGCGATGACAAGGACCACAAGGACGATGTCCGCCATCTTGTTTGGCGCAGCTTGTATTGCCTTTGTATTCGCCATTGCCTGCCAATTGACAGGCGGCATTGAATGCAGCCTGCAATTTGCTTAAAGGACAATGATGACACACTAAAGAAAAGTATGTTTAAAAATCGTTTACAAAAATTGTGCCTAGAATTTATTATCGGACTATAAAAGTATCTACTGAAGCTAGATTTTAAAGTGATGTCCTTGCAGAGGCAAAATATGCTATAGCTTTATTTAGACAATTCTATTAGCTTTAAAACAAGTCTGTACTCCGAGAAGACCCAAAAAACCACATGTCTTACAATGTTTATAATGTAAAGAATACGAATTGAAACCAAAATATCTACAAAATGATTCAAGACAAAAGAAATCCACGACTTAACTCATATCGTTTTTGTATTGTGCGAACTTAAATCTTTTCGAAAAAATTACAATTGAGAAAAGGCGACACCTTGTTGAAAAATATAAAATATGCCTTTAAAATATGCCTATCTCGAAAAGATGGTTGAAATATAAAATATTTTATTTATGGCTTATTGGAAAGCGATATAACTGCGGAAATATTATATGATGGAATATCATATTATCAGAAGAGGGGAAAAGGTAAAAGCTGGTTAATTGCAGGATGTAATATCGTAAGCCTGACGCACGCCTTTCCAAGTGGCTTTCCATGTTGGCCGTATTTACATTGCATGTGGCAGTCGGGGAAAACTGTTGCACCCTCGCAAACATTCATCCGCCCGGGAAATCCGATTTTAAGGGGTTCAGCGGGGCTGCTTGGTGGTCAGCGTTTGCCTCGGCTCGCCCAACTTTTCAACTTGTGCCAATCAAACAAGTTCAATAACGGTAATTAACAGTCCAACGCAAATGCAGTTGCCATTGCTATTGCTATCGCTATTGCTATTGCTATTGCTTTTGCAGTTGCTGTTGCAAAATGACGGGGCTGAGGGTGCAGTGCCTGCAATTTGCGAAAAGTTCAAAGCTATTAGCATGTCCGATGGCTCAACCTGAACGGATGTCGATGTCGAACCGACTGCTGTTTTGCGACGACAGAAGTTTTCCCCCCAACTGTCGGTTTTCCGGCCTAATGGTGGAACTGCCCGCCATCAGTTAAAGGCTATTAGCCATGCTCCCGGAATGGAGAAGCCTGGTACTTGTGGGCGGAAATATACGACAGGCAGTCGGTTTCGTCATTCTGGCCGGGCACGCCGGCATTGTCCCACTGTATGGCTCTTTGGACCACTCGGCATGTCAGTTTTGATTGAACCTGATGGACCCGCTAACTCTCTAATCAGATTTAATTGTGAATGATGTATAGAGCCACTCGCCAGCGAAAGTCGTCTCTAATGGGTATTAATGAAAAGGTTGTCTGTGGTGGGAGGTTAATGTAAAGTGCGTCGCAGGCCTATTAAACGCACTGACGTCAAAAGAGAATACATCAGAATCTCATAGGCCTCAAGATGAGTACATTTGCAAGGGTAAAGACTCTTCAAAGTGATCCCACGCTCAGCTGAGGTTTTCAAGTTTTGACTTTAATATCTTAGGACTTTTATAACATCTTTAAAATTAGCTCTCATTAATTTGAATACTTTATTTTTTGTCCTTTAAAAAAATATGATCGATTGGATTACAAATATTTTTGATTTGATTACCAACTCAGTGTCTATTATTAAATAATTAAAAAATGACATTATATGGATATGCAAAGTAAAATAGTACATTAGTTTAGTAAATATATAATTTGCATAAAGGCTTCCCTCTAAAGATGTTTACGTATTTCAATATGTGTATTCCATGGTACCTCATGGCAACCAAAAAAGAACATAACCATGACGTGAGTTCCCTACGCTAAGCATAAGAGCTCATCCGTCTCGTATTCATATAATGCATTTCCCCGGGTTTTTCCTCATGTTTGCTCTAATAAACAGATAGTTGGCAATTGACTGCTGCTTGCGCTTGCCGTTGTTGCCAATGCGCCAGCGGATCTATCAATTTGTAACATTTTCAGGCTCCCACACCGACGAACGACTCTGAGGAGGAAAAGGAGATCAGGAATCCGGCAACCTGATGGAGAAAATCAGCCAGAAGAAGGGGTCTGGGCCATCGGCATCGCCTGGCAACTCCTTATTTTTTCTCCTCTTCTGAGGCAACTCCGGCAGCCACTTTGGCCACAGAACTTGAACATGAGTGCAATCAAATGTATTACATTTTGTGCAACTTAAGCGTCGGCTGAAGTGCCGAAGACAGCTGGCAAAGAGAGTGCGGACAGGGGATATGTACATATATATGCTCGTGCCATACATAAGTACATACATCGGAGGCAAGGGGGCAGCTTGGCAACTGGAATATATCCGCCGCTGGATGCAATGATTTCCTGAAAAACTCAAGTCTGGATGACTCAAGGCTGAGTCTGGATGAGGAACTAAGCAGATGAGGTGGACGGCAAAAGGAAATGTGGCACACATACAGAGGCGCCTTAGAGTATGCAACATGCGCCATAAAAATGGGCCAAACAAGGAAATTGCTAGAAATGCATTTTGTGGCTTATCAGCCGTGAAGGAAGAGCGAGCAGAGAAGAGAAAGGAAAGGAAAGCGGAGAGCTGGGAAAATCAATCGAGTTTGTTCGACAAATATCCGCTCAAATGGAAATTGACAGGAAAACCCGAAAGAGATAGGTACATTTGGCCAACGGGGAGAAAGTGCAGGGCAATTAGATGTCATCGCAGTTAAACGATTTTTAACTATGACAAATTCACAATGTTAGCTCAATTGGCCATAATGCCCTGATTGATGACAAGCTTAAATAGGCAAAGAGGGTGGACATGATATGATTATCCAACAATTTCCACTGCACTGTTTGCCAACTAATCAATGGAAAAGTCGGAAAAGCGGGCGATGCAACCTCCATTTCCATTTCCCGCCACACTTCTTCCCATTGCCCATTTTTTCTGACTCAATCGGCTGTCATTGTCCTTGGCGTTTGTCAAACAAAGCAAAAACTTGCTAAATTCTCTGCTCAAACAGTTCAAGCATGAAAAAATTTGGCATCGAGACGCATGGAAGAAAAGCCAGTGGGTGGTGGAAAAGCGTGTGGGTGGTGGTGGTGGGAATGACGAACGGGTGCGCAAAGTAAAGTAAAGTAAAGCAAAGAACTTTATACCTAAAAGGGATTTATTTGATGGCTTGTCTAACTTGTGCCCTTCACTCTTCACACGACCCGGCCACGCCCCTTACGCCCCAGCCAGCCCCAGCCCATTTCCACCCACACCCCCCGCCATACAGTCCCGGCATGACGTAGCACTTTTACAAATGAAGTTTTATAACTTTGCCTCCGTCTGATTTGTCAAAGAGCGAAAGAGACACGGCGCCCAAAAGTGAAATGCGACAAAATGGAATGAAATTAAATGCATTTTGAAAAATGATAAAGTTCTGGCCAACAAGAAAAAGGTTTCCCCTTTGGTCTTCTGTCTATCTTCAAGCCAAGTCGCTCAAATCAGTGTGGATAGGGTACGATTTAAGGTGTTTGATTTACTCACTGCTTCCATGTGCAAAAGGGTTGAACTTACCTGCAAAAAAAGAAGGTAATTTAATTAGAATTGCGATAAAATAGACAGAAAGAAAATATAATTTAAATCATTATGGATATGATTTATTAAATCGTTTTAAGTTGCCCGTTCAAATATGTTTTTTTATGTGCTTTTGTGTTTTTTAAATTGTTATATGTTGTATTTGGAAATAATTTAATAAATTGTAATTAAGTAAGCTATTAAAAAAAAGATTAATGTAATGCTAAATATATGTTTATTTATTACTTAGTGATATTTTTTTGGAAAACAATCTGTTTAATGATTTTAAGTCATTTTTAAAGCTTTTATATAAGACACCCCTTTTATATTACATTTATACGACCGCAATTAAGTTAAGCGCAACAAAATTAATTTGCAGAAAAGCATACGCTCATAGTTTTAAATGCTGGTCACATTTCATTTGCGAAAACGAATGTAGGGAACCTGGCTAAGAACAGATAATGATTAGAACTAACGCTGACATCGTTGTCCACAAGCTGTTGTAGCCACACAAAAGTAAAGAGAGAAGGAAAAAACTAATTTGACAAAAGTTTTCGCCAGTCGGAGTCAAGGATGCCAACTGTCGAATCCTGTGTGCGGTCGTGGTCCCTGTCTCCTGGTCAAAACTGCAGCAGCAGTACAAACATTTGCTTTTGGCCGCTGGCTTCGACTATTTCACAAAAGCGCATAATAATTTTCACAGGATATGAAAAAACTTTGAGTTGACTCTTCCGTTCGGTCGACAACCTGCATGTGTGAGTGCGAGCGTGTCCTGCGGCATGCCATTTGAATGCCACACTTCGTCCCGCTCGCCCCCCACTTCCCCCGCTTTCCCCACTTTCCCCACTTTCGCCACGCTGTTGTTATAGTAATTGGACAAGTCACTGGCTAAAGTGGCGTCAGCAGCCAACTGGCCACCATCAACGGCAGCAGCCAGGACGACACCACTTTTATAAACAGTTGCCAGCGTGTGTGCTCTGCTGAAATTTGCTAATTGCCACTGTTGTCTTGTCGCATATTGGGGATCTGCTGTCCCATTTGCCCATTATAAATTGTATTTTTAATTAAAAAATTATTTTCGTTGGATATAAATTATTTCTGAGAGGTGCGCAAAGATAAAATATCTCAAGAACTCATTAGTATTAACAGAAATGGAAATAGTTTTCGTGAAATAAAATTGGCAAAATGGGATGCACAGAAACGGCCTTTGAAACGGTGTCAAAAAGTATGCAATGAATAAAAGATCGTGATCTTTCAAAAGGACCTTTGGACTTAAAATGTATTGTGGCATAATCTTAGGCACCCTCCATCATTGAATTCGTTAATATCCAAAGTAAATACTACTACTTAATTATGTCTGCGAGTGAATAAATAAACAGTTCTACGTTCTTGTTGACTTTTATCAATCTTTGTTTTCGTTATTGCCATCCGTTTGCTTAAGTAAATAAATACTATTAGAAAGAGTAAGTCTCAAAGTTTAAACCTATTTAAGAAAAGTTACTTTTAAATGATTGTGGTAATGTGGTTTCCAGACATTCTTATTTATTTCTATGTGCAGCATTAGGTCACTATATGACTTAGACATTCAGTCATAAAGCCATAAACTATAAATTCGACATCTCACAATTTTTCTACTAGATTAGCTCCATCAGTTGGCATTTGTGCTGGCAGCACGATAACTCCACGGCTTTATGTCGTAAAGTATCCTTTTGGGGGTATCTAGTCGTACTTCTCCCTGGAATAACCTTATCCTCCTTTTTACTTTGTCGTAATGGCGACAGACTCGCCCTTTGAAATTTCTCAGTCACGTAGGGGTGGTGATGCAACCCACCTGCCCCTAGGTGCTCTTAGCCAGGCCAACACAGAGTGGAGTGGGCTGAAGTGGGCGCATAACTCACGCTTTTCAGCGCCAAAGTGCACTCTGCATTTTCCACCCCCGTTTCTTCTTATGCCCAGCTCAGCATTAAGCCAATAATAAATTTCTGCAACAATTTTGTGCCAAAGCTGCAGTTTGTCAGCATTAGCTGGCTGTAGTTTTCTATTCCCCAAAGAACACGCCTTGATCGGTATTGGAAACGCATCCTCTAATTCTGGCACTTCGCCGACATAAATGGATTTATAATTAACTGAAATTCTGCCTACTGAAACACTCAGAGCACAAGTTAAAATGGGGATGTTAAGGCGAGGAGTGGGTAAACTGGATGTCGAGAGATTACAACTTCGTTTGCTGCCCTCCTTTATGGCTTGTGTGGTGGCATGACAAAAGTTTTTGGTAGTCAAATCTTGGCATGTTAAGTTGTAGCTAACTTTTTGTAAACTCTAAGAAATCTTTGACGGCAAAGACGAGTGGAATGCCACAATACTCTGCAGGCGAGTGTGTGTGCGTGTGTGTGTTGTTGCCGGATAACTCTTTGTAGTTGTGTGTAGAGCATTTAATTAATGCAATCAGACCAAAACTCCAGACAAAAGACAACAGCTGGAAATCACACTTTGCAAACTGTGTAGGTTTTATTCGACATTAAAGATATTGTGATTACAAATATGGTTTGGAATTTTTGATCTTTAAAAATAAGTATGTACTTTGATTGTTGTGTATTTGTTTAAGAAGCTTTTATTATATTGACTTGGCTGAATATGAAGAGTTTTGAAATTAATAAAAAACAAAGTTCCATTTTTAAGACAACAACAAAAAGAGAATTCGACCATAAGCGTTTATATGCCTACCGCGTTGATAGTCGGTTTTAACACGTCAACCGGTTACTTTGGCAAATCCTTGTCACAGCGCAAACATATCAAGCGAAAGGTTTAAAGGTCACCGCAAATCATAATCGAAGGTATACAGATACGTCAGTAAATATACACAAGCACTGTTTGTTTTGACTTCGAATTAATACAATTTTGCCATGGCCTGCCCACAGCGAATTATCATAATGCTGGCTTCGAAAACAGCAAAATTTCCGCCCACTCACACGAAATACGCACATTTCTGGGGCGCATCAACCGAACTCATCCCCATCTCCATGTAATCGCACATGAACAGACATAATATTTACTGCTCTAATTAATAGTCACGTACACCGCCGGAGTTGGAGATCCTTTTGGTTTGGTGGGATTGCCGGCGGATTTAATGAGCCCCGGGCAGGGGCTTTGTGAGGACAAATGTTGGTCGTTTGCCCCTTGAAGTGGCAGCTCAACTCAAGGCTTAAGCTTTGATTTAATTTGATTTGCAGGGATATTTCTTGAAAGCCCCCAACCTAATATCTATCTGCCCCGAATTGCTTTGTCAGACTGAGCGCATTTCTTTTTTTCCTGCTGTTATTATCTTTGGCAGCCGCCAACGAACCGAAAACACCAAAACAACGTGACCGGTGCATCCCAATCCGATTCGCCCACGAATCCGCAAAAACCCAAACATGGAATTTGGAAATTCCTGTCTGGACGGGATTTCCTACCCGAGCAGTGCAGCGCATAAATGCAGCCCACTGGTGGCCATCCGCCCGATTATGCATGTCCCCTGTTTCATATTGATGATGGGCCCAGCACAGCCCTGAAAATAGACCCCAAAAAATAGTTTCGGTGCGGCAGAGCAACTCGGTTGCATAGTTTCGCTTTTGGCTTTGGTTGTGGGTTCAGAGTTTGAGTTTATTTTGCCAGGCAATTTTTTTTTTTTTTGCTTGCGAGGAAGGCTACCATTTTGCCAATTGGCTGCACCCATCTCCAGAATCCGATGTGTGTGGGAGGCGAGAGGAAATCCTGGCCAGCCTAGCACTGAGCCGCCAGCGATTGCCATTTCGCTTCTAATCAATTTTTTTGATTGCCAAATGAAAAGTCGACTGGCGGAGGCTTGAAACGACTTACGCAACAACCACTGGCTACCGAAAATACAGCGAAAAAATGGTGGAAAACAAGCCTGCCACAACAGGAAGATAGGTGGATTGGTGGTATGGAAATGAAATTGAATCGGAAAGATGGATTCGCCCAGATGTTGGCCCTTGGAATTGGCTCTGCCATCGCAGAAGAAATCTGGCTCAGCTGCTTTATTTCCATTCGAAATTTGCATTAATACAATACATATTTACTCGCCTCCGAGCTATTTAAACTCACTTTGATTTAATTAACATCCACATTTGCCCTTCTTTGATCCGGTTCAATACATGTTTTTTTCAGTTTACTTGTTTACTCTCTTAATTTGCTACAAATTTTTGCTAATTTTCTTTGTTTGCTTTGGCCAACACCGCCTCTTTTACAATTCCAATGTTTTCTTGTGGACTATTTATGTGCGTTTAATTGCAACTCATTAAGCATATTAATTAAATCGCCACATTTATGCAATAAAGCTGCGGTTATTCCGCAGTAGAAGGAGAAGAAGATAAAGTGCAAAAAAAATGTGGGATAAAATAGCACAAAAAGAGGTTGTCATATATTTCAATTTGCAGCAAAAAAATATTTCGCGCACAGACACAAACAATAGCGGCAAATTAACATGGAAGAACCAAACTGACGCAACAAAAAAAAATGAACAAGTTTAATATTTGCATATTGCAAAAAATTAAAAAAACCTATAGGGAATAAACGGAAGGGTGTCGACTAAAAAATACCTCATTTTCATATGATTTTTCGCAATGCTAACAATTCAAATATGACACAATTTAAAGTACCAAGACAAAAGTAAAGCCAATTTATATTTAAAACATTGTAGTCTTTTAAATACTTCAGTTTGAGTTCACTGAATAAACTTTTATTAATGCTGAAAACAAAAAATGTAAATGACTGCCAAACTATCATCTACGCTTAACTCCAAAAAAGGATTACCATAATGGGATTTATTTTGATGCGGACTTTACAGTGGGGGCTATTATATAATACAACTGGGTTGATTTACATTAAGTAATGCGCCAAAAATTACAGGCTTATTAAAAAAATCATGACCACAATTAAATAAAAGGAAAAGCTACAGAACAAACGAAACAGTAAGAATTAAATTAAAAACC